CGCCCCGCGCGCCCCGGCCGCCCTCGCCGAGGTGCTTCCTGCGGAGCGGAGGCAGGGGAGAAGTGCGGCCGCCTAGCCCGGCCCTTCCCGGCGCGCAGCCCCGACGGGGCCGCGGCACGACGGAGCCATGAGAGAGTACAAAGTGGTGGTGCTGGGCTCGGGCGGCGTGGGCAAGTCCGCGCTCACCGTGCAGTTCGTGACGGGCTCCTTCATCGAGAAGTACGACCCCACCATCGAGGACTTCTACCGCAAGGAGATCGAGGTGGACTCGTCGCCGTCGGTGCTGGAGATCCTGGACACGGCGGGCACGGAGCAGTTCGCGTCCATGCGGGACCTGTACATCAAGAACGGCCAGGGCTTCATCCTCGTCTACAGCCTCGTCAACCAGCAGAGCTTCCAGGACATCAAGCCCATGCGGGACCAGATCATCCGCGTGAAGCGGTACGAGCGCGTGCCCATGATCCTGGTGGGCAACAAGGTGGACCTGGAGGGCGAGCGCGAGGTCTCCTTCGGCGAGGGCAAGGCCCTGGCCGAGGAGTGGAGCTGCCCCTTCATGGAGACGTCGGCCAAAAACAAAGCCTCGGTGGACGAGCTGTTCGCCGAGATCGTGCGGCAGATGAACTACGCGGCGCAGCCCAACGGCGACGAGGGCTGCTGCTCGGCCTGCGTGATCCTCTGAGGCCGCGAGCCCCGCGCACAAAGCCGAGCGCACGGCGCGCTCGGCGGGATGCCCTTCTCGCTCGGAGGTTGGAGACGACTCGGCAGCGGCCGGGGTGGCCTCCGCCCCGCGTGCGAGGGGCTGTCCCGCCCTGACCCTCCGCGACCCGGTGGGAACGTGGCGCTGTGCAGCATGTACGTTTCTCATTGATTTTGGTTGACGCATATTTCCCCGTTGAAGCAGTCGTTGGGGCGCTGTATTGGCAGCTTGACACCGGCAAGCGAAAGTTTCAGCCAGGAAAAAATGCGCTGGGGAAGGAAGAGGACGGGAGAAGGTGGAGGGGACCTTTTGTGTCTGTGCGTGTGCGTGTCAACAACCGTTTTCTAGTTCCAAGCTTTCAGTACACGGAAGAAGTCCGGGAGAACCAAATGAAGGAGCAGGAGGAGAGGAAGAAACTTGTTTTTTCATTGTTTTCCAGGAGTAGCTGGAAATTAAGATCGGGTTCCTTTTCTGCCAGTTTGGAAGGGCAACCCCGTGACTGATTGCGATTCCGAGGATGTCTATGCAAAGTTGGGTTCTTGTTACAGTGTATCCAATCTGAAGTATTGCACATCTGAACTGGGACTGTTAACACTGATGCCAATACAGTGTGGGGTGCCAGAAAGTGTCTGCTGATATTTGCGGGAAAAAAAATATCTATTTTGTTTACCTACTGTATCAAAGGGGAGTCTGGGGGAGAACGGTAGTATTTTTTTTTATCAGCTGTGAAAAAAGTGTTACAGATCTGCACATTTTTGTGTGTACTATTGTGTGTGTGTGTGTGTGTGTTTAGCTTCTTGTTCTTATTGGTTGGCAGTAACAGATTTTGATGATGAGCTCTTTAAAATCAAGTACAAAGACTTTGCCAATGGGATTCAGGGCCCCAGCACCCCTGTGTCTGCAGAGTGCCTTCAAAACTCAGCTGTTCCAGCCGGTGCCAACCTGTGAACTTCCCACCATCTCCCAGAATCCGCTCTTCCCCAAACCACTTCCAGTTTCCTTGCAGCAATCTTCCCGAAGGAGCCAGGACAATAGGGCTTGTTGTTCAGTGAATTTCTTTATTATTTCCAGCCTTTAAAATGTAATTTCCATGGCTTGCAATGGGCTTTTTTTTTCCGCTTCATCTTGTTCAAATGTTCAGGTATTTAGCTCCCTTTTATATTATTTTTTTTAATGTTTTGGTTATCTGTTAATAGGGTGTTCCTCCAGAAGCAGAGAGCAAAATTTTACTGTTGTGATGTACCAAGAGAATTCTAATTGTAATTTTTAATTCCAGACACGTGTTTAATCATTGTCTCTTCATTTTAAGACTTTTAATACAAATCTCATTTTTAAAGAAACAAACCCAAAATGATCGTTTGTGTTTCTGTGTTTCATATTCAGTGATTTAATGCAGTATCGTGGCTGAGGTGGACAGGGGCAGGTGCATGACGACCTCAAGAGTTGCTTGTCACATTTTGAAGACAGCAGTATCTCAGTGACAAGTTGGGTGATGTCACTCCCGAGTTCTTAAATACAGAAGAGATCATCAAGGTCTAGGAAGCCATGGGGTGTGCCCCATCTGACTGCAGGATGAGCAGCATACTGGGTCTGTTCTGCTGATGGGAGCAGTTTACCTCACAGTAGGTGGTGAGGGGGAGAAACCAGCCACTAACACTGCCTGGGACCTGGGAGAGGAGCCGTCCACCCGACCAGGCAGGTGGCACTTTTAATTTCCTTAAGCCTGTTTGGGGAAGGTGATTTCCAACTCTGAAGTCATACCCGGTAGTGTTTTCTGCAGTACATTTGTATGGGTTGTAGACAGTATCTCAACCCTTTTGAGGTTTTAATTTGAAAACAGATAATTAGACTAAAAAGAAGAGAAAGAAGGAAAAACTAAGACCAACCCCCTTGCTCTCATTACACTGCAGTTTGTGGACCATTTTGACCTCACTAAATTTTCCCTCCAACAGTAGGAGGCAGTGTGAGCTTTTCATTTTCTGTTTTGTTTTCCGGAAGGGCCGCTGTACTAATATCACCTCTGTAGAATACGAGGAGGTGTATCACTCAGGGTACCCTGGGTCTGTGGAGTGTAGACGAAGTCTTCTGAAGGGTCTTTTGACAAGGGGATTTATTCTTTTGAGGAAGCCAAAGGAAATTACAGGGCACAGATTTCTTTAAAGCTGTATTAACGTATCTTGCCTTAAAATGTTGTGTCCTTTGCCCCGGTGATGTCTCAGTATCCAGCGTGGAGGGAGGAGAGGGAGGGAGGAGAGGGAAAGAGGAGAGGGAGGGAGGAGAGGGAGGGAGTGGCCCTGTGATGGTCCTCTGGCTGTTTCTTTCCTTCTTGATCTTGCTTAAGTTTCGTATCAAACTCAATTGGAAGGCAATATATATATTCTAGATATATAAATTAGGAGAAACTACTCAAATTTATGCCTTTGCAAAGATTCCTTGTTGCATTTGAGTAAATATAGTTGCTTCAGTAGATGTCAAGTGTCGAAAATTCTGAAGAGGTATCAAGAACTATGAAGGATTTTTTTTTAAAAGGCATTTGGTGACTTATGGTTTTGTTTTGGTTTTTTGGATGCCTTTTGACATAAAATGCTCCCAAGTGTCTAACTAACTTAAGAAATGTGTATACTCCTGGCAGGGAAGATTTGAAAATGGAAAATTGGAAATGAAATGGGCTGCTGGGTGCATTAATCATCTTTGCACAGGGTTTAGTCCCTCGCATGATTAAATTCTTCATAGCTCTGGGATGGCAGGGCAGAAGATTTCAGTATGCTTTTCCTGAGTACTGTAATATAAATGCCTTTTGGATTCTCAATGAAAGCAGTCTTGTGTGTGTGCCTGCAGCAGGAAAATAGCAGTTCTGAGTTTTGTAGACTTCTCCGTTATTTTCTTAAGAAAATTGAGAGAAATTAAGGACATTGTTTTTAAGACTATGTCAATGTATTTGGCTAGTAAGAACCCCTTCTAGTATTATGGAGTGAAGAGGTAAGAGCATTTGTTTGGATGACCAAGTTAAAGGAAGTGGGGGAGGGAGCAGGGAGGAGCTGGCCTGAGGCTGTCACCTGTGAAAACAGAAACTGGGTGGGAAAGGAGCCTATGTCCTGGGGAGCAAAAGTTAACTTTTAAACTTGACCCCTGCTGCTCAACAGCTTTTCCTTCTGGTCCCTGATGGTCATCCAGGCTTTACATCATTTCAAAGGATTATTTTTGCCATTCTTTTGTAATAGCCTCAGGAAAGTTGATGATATCACCTAAGTCTGATGTTTTCGTGTTCGAGAGTTATGGTTTAGCTAAAATGAGTTCCACGTTGTTAACTGTTGAAGTGGACTTCACTGAATCACGTGTTAAGATCAGATCTGTCTGGGGTTGGGGTTCTTGAAATGGAGAGGTTTCGTGCTTCCTGGTGAGTTACCTTCCTGTAGGTGGGATGCTGAAATACCTCGTCTGTTTGAACTGTTCAGTAGTGTTGTGTTTTCACCAGCCTGTGACTGCACCCTCTTCTGAGCTACAGTCCAGGACTTCTCACAGGTGGGCTGGGAAAGTGGGAGAACGCTATTGGTAGCTGCTGGTCTTGAGAGACGGATCAACATGCGTGCACCTGAACTGTCATAAAAGCATATTTACTTTTCACAGCAGCTGGAAACAGCCCCCTACTTATAAATATGAAGGAAACAAAGACTGAATTTGGAGATCACCACGGTTAGTTAAAATGATATCAAACATTTGTCAGTGTCTACTTAATTGGGAAAAGCTTGCTGATATAAATTTTGTCCTTGTGAATATGTAGCAAATTCTTAAATACTAAGAGAATGTGATATTCTTGATTATGATGTTTTCCTCAGACTACTAGGAATAATTGAGGGCGTTTAATTGAACATAGGGCTAGTTCTAGAAAATGTATTTGATGGTTTGAGAAGGCTTTGGGGATCATCTAGTCCAGAGGTTCTCAAACTGGACCGCATGTCACTCACCTGGAGGTTACCACGGGCACTGCTGGGTGCTGTCTAGTGTCTTATTCCGTATGTCCGGGTATGATCTCATAATTTTCATTTCTAACAGTTTCCAGGTGATGCTGATATTGCTGTTCCAGGGACCACACTTTGAGGAGCAATGATCTAGTCCAAACTCCAAAAGAGTACTGTGCTGAGCGAGAGCCACCTAGATGTTTAGGGGCACACCTTAGAGTGCTGCCTACCGCACAATCGTGGAGTAACCTCGACTGAAGCCAGTGGCTGGAGAGGACACACCATGTACAAGAGACTGTTACATTGCTGAGTGTGAGGGGTGCACACAGTGTAGGTAGAGTGGCTATTTGACATTGGCATGTGAACAGTCTGGCTGTCATTTTCAGGGTTCATGCAGAAGTTCACTAAAAAGAGAAAATGATTAGAATAGGGGCATGGCCTAAATAATCAGAATCAACATTTCCTCCCCCAAAAAACAATGTTGAAAAGAATGGCAAAAACATTGTTTAAGAATACAGAATGATTATAGATGCATTGAGAAAACAGGTACCGAAAAAAGGGCCTGAGATTGTTCCTTGCTTGTTAAGAATATGGCTGCAGTGGAAATGGGTGAACATAGCTGAACTGATGCATTATTCAGTGAGAATTTACTGAGCACATACTATCAGCTGTAGGGTAAGGACTAATGCTCAAACAGGAGGAAGCCAGGCAAAAGAGCAACAACCACTGTGCTGCTCTCTGCGTGAGCTGTGAGGACAGCGTGTGTTAACCCGCAGGAGCACGTGAAAAGTGCAGCTACGGGCGCCATCACTTACAATATAATCCTGTAGGTCTGTCTGGCTGGCAGTAGAGTTGGTAAATTTGTCGAAAATTGGAACTTTACTTTGAAAGGTATGTGGATATTGCAAATAAAAATGGATCCCACGAGGCTTAAGTAACTAATAGTTGTTTTGTTGCACGTGGACCTATAATTTTGTGTAGCGTTTCCAACTTCCTTTCTGAGATTAGCTAAAATTGAACATTTAGAAGTAGGAAATCAGTTTGCTTTCATATTTGTATGTCAAAGAGGAGAGGGGAAAAATGGAGAAAAAGACTTATGAAATTTGTTCACTGTAATTTTTCTTTTTTAAATGAGGAAACGAAAAAGGAAAGGACGATTTAGGTTATGTTCTTAAAGAAAGAAGCAATTGTTGGCAGACGGTCTTTTGGGGTTCCTCATGTAAAGAAGATTCAAGGAGGGTATTTCTTTTGTAAAGGATAATCTTCTAAAAATGAGTGTGCCAAAGAATTAAGCTGACACTTTGAGTTTGCTCAGCTTATAGTTATTTTACACAAAAGCTCTTGTTCTCACGCCTTGAGTGCTTGTTGGAAGAAGGCGGCCAGCTCAGAAAGAAATATTGGGCAGCAAGCTGTAAGAGGTAACAAAATAGCGATTATTGCAAAACCTCCTGAATTGAAGGGAGGTGTGATTATTAACCTCCTGCAAAAGGTTTGCAAAAGGATTTCTAGTGACTGTTTTGTGTGGACTTTCCTCGGAATTTAACAACAGGCTTTTAAAATGTGGAAAGTTACAGAATTGCAGAGATAGAAGAGTTAGTTCATCTGAAGGTACTTCATTGTTTTTTTTTTAAATCTGATTACTATAGAACCATTTATGAGATGCATATTTATTACTTATAGTTTTATAGCTTCAGTAAAGTTCTTAATATTTTGTCTATCTGATCATTTATAAAAGGTTTTCAAAATCTGGTTTTAGTCATGAACTCAGAATATTTTAATGTTATTTAATATTATACATATTAATATATTTTTAAATATTCTCGTTAAAAGCTGACATTATATTGAATTATATTGCAATCAAGAAAGGAACCTCTATAGAGATCTGTACTAGCATAATTCTATAAGAACATAGATTTCTATAAAATACATTTTAGATAGTTTTGAATTCTGCACTGTGAGTAGGTAAGAGAATTACAGGTATGTTGCTAAGTCTGATTTCGACATTCATCATCTAATAGAAAGAGGCTTGCGTTTGGAGTTCCTCCTCTGAGTGTGGTCACCTTAGCTTTACTTTGTCACACGACT